GTCTCCACCCCGAAGGGTTAAGACGCAAACGGGGGATGGGGCTCCGCAAGCGTCATGGCCCCGTGCAAAGCAGAGCAAATGCAGCAGAGGCAGCGGCAAGAAGACAATGGAGAAGAAATAAAGCAATACTTGCAAATGCGAGGAGTCCAAAGTCGTAGTTTGGTAAGCTGCCGAGCGGTGAAGCGGACCCGACGAGTAATCTTCATGCAATCAGGAAGGTGGCGACGCAGAGCTGCCAGTGCCGAGGGAGTCGAACTCCAAGCACAGGGGGCGAGCTCAAGGGCGACCCACGGTGCGCGCCAGATGCCGAGGGAATTCCAGCACCGAGGGCGGACACGCCACCGAACAGGAATAAAAATAGAATGACCAGATCAGCCACAGTCAGCCGCAGCATTACCAGGCGAGTTCCGGCGGGCAGGAGGGCGGGGCCACCGAGCCGCAAGACACCGAATGCCCGCAGTCCCCAGGCCAGCAGGGTTCATCAAGCAGACATACGCGCGAAGTCCTAGCCAGAAGTCAGCCAATGCAGTCGTAGGCCACTGTCTACAAGAGTTGCAGAAGGCAAATTAAGTGAGCGGAACTGTTACAGAGTCCTTCAATGTTTCCAATAACGCCGAGCTCCGGCCGATGCAACAAATCACTGGCCTTTGAGCCGGTGACCGAGCACGGAATGCCATTCATAAACTTCAGGCCGAAGCATAACAGGGCCATGGATGATCAGAGTGGCGACAAATCACGGAGGGTAGCATAAGAGGGTACTTTCGCCCTAGCTGCCGGGAAGCCGGGGAGGGTGGGGGGGTGCTCATCGGGACGAAGTCCCTTAGTACCGCCCCACGCCCAGCCTGAGAAACCCCGACCCGGAACACAGCCAGGCCCGGGGGCAGTCAGTCAGTCAGTCAGTCAGTCAGTCAGTCTGTCTGTCTGTCTGTCTGTCTGTCTGTCTGTCTGCCTCTATCTGTCTGTGTCTGTCTGTCAGTCAGCCTCTGCCTGTGTTGCCACTATGTTACGCCGATCTGTTGTGTCTGTGACGATGGACTGAGTCCCGTTTGGTCGCCTGGCAACGATCGGAAACCTTTGCCGGGGGTCACGGGTCAGGCAGCGCAAGAGCTTTAAGGCTCCTGCCAACCTGCTGCTTCGCCTGCACTTGCTTGATCCACCGCACAATACACCGGTCGAATCTGCGCAGGGACGAGGCAGGTCACGCTGTGAATGTCCGCAGGCATGGCCATGACTCCCCAATATGCCAATATGTTTTGGCTGAGTTTGCGCACGGCTCAACCAAATCGCCGACGCGGCCGACGATGCGGTAAAGAGCAAAGTTGAAGGAACAAAGGTCCTGGAGCAGCCTGGCGCAATGCTTACCAAGCCCTTTGCTTCAATACGTGTCCCGAAATTTAGAAAAAAAAAAAAAAGGAAACATGTCGGCGCTACTGACAACAAATGACCTGGATGTCTTCATTGTCGGCCATCCCTGAGCTCTCGCAGACAACTTTGGAATGAGGCCATCGATGTCGAAGCTCAACTTCAGACGTCGGCCGCGCCTTGAAGCACCAAATCGATGAGCGCTGGTGAAGCGATCTGCTCAGGATAGGCTGCAAGCAGTGAACAGCACACCTCGGCAAATGCCGGACTCCACACGACATGGCAGATCGATTGTAAAGCGAACTACAGCAAATCTTCAGTGAACCACCACCTAAAAGTCAATCCAGCATGCGGTGGCTGAGCAAGCTTGGCAACGGACGGTGTACGCAAACTTCCGCAAAGGCAACCCATCATCTACCTGCGTGAAATGGTCGGGGTCCCTTGCCGGAATAAGCCACACAACATCCGGCCGGTTTCTGCGCACCTTGTGCTTAAACGGTCCTAGATCCACCTCTCTGATGAGCTCTGGCCTTGCCAGTGCACCGAGCCATGTGTGCGTGTGGGGGGAATGTTTGGAATATTTTGGAGGCTTTTTGCAGGAAGGGTCAGCGAGGTCCGAACGGATTTCACTGAGGTATACACTTCTGCTTGGAGTCCTCTTTGATTCGCTCGAGGATGAGATCAGTGCTGTCCTGCGCTTGGAAGCGCCATGGAATATGCAATGGATGAAAAATCAGGTGGCCGGTCCCTCAGGATCTCCGAGCAGGTAGGGGAGACGCACACCACGTTCACCGAGTGTAGCGCTGCCTTTCTCACCTAGTGGTTGCGAAAGCATGGTTGCATACCCACTAGCCTGCTCCGTCCAACCTGCAACTCCTCATCTCCCAGGCAGGTCAGCAGTGCTTCCTTCATTGCGGACAGCATCCCAGCATTCTTACGCTTGGATGGCCTGCCGGCCTTCAGTGGCAAGACCGCGGAAGCCTGAACAGCGGCTTGCCAGCAACAAGGCCTTTGCATATCTTTGTCATGATGACGAACCTGGCATTGCTTTGCTGCGGCAAAACGCACGGCAGCAACAGCTGCGGCCCTCGTCCTCCAGCTCTCCCTGCTCATTTCGGACCGGTCACGTGTATGTCATGTGACAGCTGTATGTGTCCCCTGTTACTGTCCACGCCTGTCTCTGTTGGAGAGAAGCACAGTCAAGGCTTGCATAACAGCGTCCTGCAAGCTTCAACGACTTCAGCCTAACATGCACGACGTTGCAAGAAATAACATGGACAGGCATGGGCCCGCACACCAAGAGCGCATCACGTGAGAAGGGTCAAGCTCATACAAATAGATCGCCGGGCTCTGCCATGCCGGTCCGGGCTTGTAGAAGCCGCCAAAAAAAGGTGTGCACTGCTGTCATTGAAATTGCCATGTGATGTCAGGCATACAATATTGCTCTTGCTCTCCTCCTGCATTGCTGGTGGACGATTTCTCTCATCTTGTCGCCTTTTGAGCATCCGCATCCCTACACCAACCCCCCCCCCCCGGGTGGGTGTAAACGTAGGTATGATTGTAAAGCAGCTCGGTGGAACAAGACCACTTGGCCCGGCATGTCATGTAGGCCTGGTCGACTGTGAGCAGGTGTCCCAGTGACTCGGACACAACATTCCGCATGCTCTCCTGGCAAACGCAAATCTTCAAAACCCATCTCTCCCTCCTGTGGGCTTCAGAGGCGCCTCCTGTGAGTCGGCATACTGCTGCAGGATTGGTCTTAGTTTGGACTGAGCTGAACTCGACACGCTGACGCTTCACAACTCTCACGGCGGGTTTGGGCTCCGACAGGACCCGTGGAACGTGCGGCTTGAGATGCTCCGCCAGTGTACGGGATCCATGCCTGTAGCCGCGCGAGACCCCATCCGTGCTCTGTTTAATCCGGGAGCTTTGGATGGCGAGGTTGCCTTTATTTTCGTATCGCTGGTGAAGTCAAGCTTCACTTCTCGGAAGCGTAATCAGATGCCAAATGCTTCCTAGTCGAAAGCTTACTCGTGGCCTGAAGGCGTGATGCTCCTCTGAAAAGATGCCAAAAGCCCGTGAACCATCATGCTCCCGGGCATTGACTTGTCGGTCTGCTTCCTTCGAGACCCACGTGCACACGGCACTTCCCCCACAAATCTGGACTTAAATAGCTGCACGAAAGATCACAGTTACTGGTGTCGTATTGGTTTCTCGAAGGTTACAGGTGCCTTGCTGAAGTTCGAAACTCCGCAGCTGCTGGTGCGACCTGATGTTGTCGTTGCTGCCAAAGGTGCCGCAGCTTTACGCTGCTGCATCTTGTTGTGCTGTCATTCGAAAACTCTCTTGAGGCCGGGATCCAAGCTCGGAGAAAACTCTAGAACTTGCTCGCTCTAAGTCTCGGCTATGCCTCACTTGTTGCATCGCTACGGTCTAGGATTCTGCCTGAAACCAGAGGTTGTTTAGGACTGCACAGAAGGTTAAACCAGGCTGAACCGACTGCCTTGTTATTTCATCCAGGTGCCGATGATCAACAGCGCTTGTGACTTGCTCCCGAACCACAGGTGTTGCAAACTGCCCTGGCCTCTCGGCAACGCCGATTGCAATCACTTCTCGCAGGGATGTCAGCAGCAAGTACCTTTATCGACAGTGTGTTTTCCCAAGCAGCCGTCCCGATCTGGACCGTAACAGGAAGGAAACGTGGGAAACAACCCAAAACGGCTCTCCCGTCGAACTCCCGTGTTCACAAAGCTAGCGGTCGGGCACTGTTTCTTTTGTGCTTCTGCACCAGCCTAGCTGCAACATAGAATCACTTGCGGCGCAACTTTCAGTCATCTCAGCTAAGTGCTGAGACTCGGAGGCAAAGAGTGATGCCTGCTGCACATTGTCAATCACGACCTTTAGAAGTGTGCCCATAGCGCCCACGGTTGCCTCAGAAAGCACCGCAACTCAAAGTGCATGCGACCGAGCCACAGCTGCAGTTTGCAGCGTGCAGCTTAGGCTGCAACGTAGCCCAACGCCAGCGCCGCTGCAAGCCGAATCTCGTCCTCGCATGTCAGCGCCACCCAACCATGCTGCTGAAGCGCTTGAGCTGTCCTGCTGGCTCTCCAGCTGACGAAGGAGCACATCACAAAAGCCCGGAACCCCAGAAAGATCAACATACCTGGTAGCCAGATGTAGCGAGTCGCTTCGAAGTGACATGATATTGTTTCGCACGTGCAGCCGCTTGTGGCGCACTTTCCAGTTTCACCCAATGCCAGCAGAGACAACTCGCACTGATGCATCACCTGGCACAACTCTCCGTTGGCAGGAGACATCACCAGACCCATGCAAACCCTGCGAGCACGCCTCGGGTGCAGGGTTGCCAGAGGTCTTCTTCACACTCTCCAAGAAGTGCTGCACTGCAGCCTGCAGGCGGAAACGCGTGAGCCATTCACGAAAGAGGCAGGTCGCTCCTTCTGCACGTCGGATGCAGAAGATGTTGTTACTGCAGCCAGGCCCTTCGCTAGTGTTCCGATGACCTGTCATCTTGCTTGACATTCTGCAAAGTGATGGTAAGTGGACTGGAACTGACACAGCATGACAAGTCTGTATGCAGTGTTCTGCTCGGTCCAGACTGAGACACCCTGCTTCGGAACCTATTGGTACAAACTGCTGCCGCCGACAAACCTCAAGATGAACGTTACTTAGGGATGCAGGCCCGGGCACAATTATGCAGCTGCGTGCTGCAAGTGAGCTCTCTTCTCTTGAGAAGAACCGCAAGTTACCATTTTCGCCCAACACAGCAACTGCGACCAAGATGTGAGCTTTAAGGCGACAAGTAATACGAGGAGGCGGGCGAGGACAAAACCCACTCCGCAGGACAGAGCGGCAGGCGGGGACGAACCACAGCACAAGCAGGGCCAGGGCAAACAGAGTAACTCCATGCAAAACCATGGCGAGCCGGGCGCTGAGTCTTGTGTTTGTTGCACATACGCTTCCAATACTTCCACGTCTCGATTCCTGGGCAAGACCTGCCAGAGCGGCGTGTCGTTGAGCCTGCGTGGACACAACCGAGAAGAAATCAACAGCAGCAAGTGCTGTGCATTCAATATGCCTGCCTGCGCTTGAGCTGTTGCGATGAAGGAGGTATTGCTCAACTCCTGATTCAATACCACAGCAAGCTTCGAAATACTGGCAGGAGCTGGCAGCACTGTGCTTCTCCTGCCGCAGCTTCTCGAAGGGGCAGTGCTCACGATGGTGTGCTACTCGGGACAAGAAGTTCAAGATCGAATCCTCGCAAAGTCCGCCGTCTTCGAGGCGCTACAGCCGCGAGAGGCTTTCCACATGCCAACATCTGCAGAACCCTTCTAAGCTCCCCGCCAGGGCACTTCCCTGCAGCAGTGGTGACCGACACACGGTCAGCACTGCCGGCACCTCTGCGCTCTGCGAATGATGGCTTGAGTCACCGATCATGCAGCAGATGTGCTGTGACAGTGACACAGCGCTCGATCACTTGCGGTGCCATTCGTGGCGAGGTGGCGAGAACCTGGCAGCACTGGCTCTCACCATTGCTCTCGTATGTTCTCTTATAGCGTCGTCGACCGATCCTGCACTGCGATTTGAACACAAAGATCTGTTATGTAGAGGTCTGTATCTGTGATGAAGGGGACCATGTCACCTGCAAGAAGACGAACAGAGTAGCGATGAAGAAGCATGATCTGTCACTTCATGCCGGATGGCCCAATATCTGCATAATGGTCTCGCTCGGCATGCCACCACCGTACCTCCGGCGACTAGGCTCGACACTCTACTGCAGGCGTGTACATTGATGTGTTTGGCCCCCATTCACCTTATGGAAGTTGTGTTGTGGGCAAGGCTTGTTCCAATTTGTTCCAAAACGCATTTATTTCGCCTTGGTAACCCCATGTTTCGTATTTGTTCGCGGGACATCACTAGTTCGGAGATGCATTGAAATGCTTGAAACGTCGCATCTTGATGGCAAACAATGTACATGCATGATTTAGCTGAAGTAGCTACAGACTGGCAGCAACTGCTTCTTGCTCGAAGCATTGACAAGGTGCAACGAACTCCACACATCCATTGATTTCTGGTCCCAAAACGGCTAGTATCGACGCCAAGTCGCCACGTCATTTCATCTGAACAGTGACAAGTTCATGACTCACAACAGCCGATTATTTGTTCACCGAGAAGCAGAACAAGTTCCCTTTAGGTGGACCGCGGTCGTACAGCATGCATCCCAAATCCAAGATTCCCGGGCAAGACCTGTGGGCAATCTTGGACCATCCGGCTCGAAATCGAAATGAATTGGAGATGATTACGATGGTTCGGGTTCCCAACCCCCCTATCAATGGAATGCGTTCTGAATCCGTTGGAACATGGACCGTTGCGGTTTGACAACTGCATGTTGTATTTCGGGCCTGTCGTTCTGTGAATAGCTAACATATATATCCACCATACTTTGTGTGGTTGATCTTTCAAAAAACATGCCGGCTGTCATACAGCTGTCATTGTCATGATCAATCCCGGCACTTCTGTTTTGTTGTTTAGATTGACACAACAAAGGTGTCTTAAAAACATCTAGAAGATCGTTTAGTTCAACCTTGGCTTGTTGAAGATCAGCGGCATTGTACAACTCGGAAAATCAAATTTCATCTTGATGAAGATGTCTACTTTACTACTCATTGACAAGATTTCAAACTTGACGCAATTCATTGGGTCTAATCAGTAGCTTGTTATTTCGGCGGATGGAATGGGCTCAATACCAAGTTGCTGTTTCTTTGGGCGGCCCTATGCAATCTCCATCCTGAATAACGATGAAATAAAGGAATTTGGTGCGGAGATATCTTGCACGTTGGCAGGAGATCCTCGCATCCCTCAACAACGCGTGCCAGTAATGGCTTAACCCGGCAAGGCCATCAAGAAGTTTGCAATTGGTAAGCAAAGCGGTGGGTTTCTTGTACGTTGCGCATATTGACACATTGGGAACTCGATGAAGCGCACCTCCTCAATCAAACAGAGATCTTTGATAGCAGTGAAATCCCGTAATCGCGAGGACCTCGGGTTTTCGATGATGCGGATGATACCCAAAGATGAGGCAAGCCTGCAGAGCTCGGCAGTAAAGAACGCAAGCTCACATCCAACCAATTCTCGTTGCCTAGCTCTTTGGTGGTTCAAGATGTTGCGCCTAGTCCGGGAGAATACAGCGCAAGGAGTTCCAATGTGCACGTATGAAACCTGGAATTTGTTGAGGATTTGCTTCACAGCCTGTTGAGTGCTTCTTCGCAAAAAGATGGCCCTTCTCTAATATCAAGGGAAGGAAGCACAGCCACTCCCATCGCCGAAATGGCATTGCTGAGAGTACCGCTGCCTCCGAAAACTTCGAGAAAAGCGAGCGCGGTTATGTCACAATTCAGGGCAGGGAAAACCAACAGGGTTGATGTCGAGTGTCCGGCTTTAGTTGAGCCTCTACAATCCTGACTTGCCGATCCGGAGCACTATCATCTCTTATGTGCGCAGGACAAATCCCGACGAGCATATTGGAATGAAGGAGGACCGCTAGGGTGGCTTCACTGGCGGGGAAGCGCAGATTGACTTTGTCCGACAATCTTCCAGCAGTTTCCGACTTTGTCGTTCGGCGGCCGCTGTACAGGTCGGACTTGGGATTCGTTGGCGCATCCGACATGTCGAAACAATGCGGAATGCGGCTGACAAGCCGTCACGGTGGATTGGGCATGCAAGTCCTATTTCCACTGCGTCCGCTGCTATGCCTTCAAAGCCTCTCCATCTTCGTCTGCGGGACAACGCGGACTCGTCGCGGGAGCAGCCTTCAAAACCGGACGCGTGCGAGACTGTGGCCCAGCAGGTGGCTCATCCCGAACATATCAAGATGCCTCTCGTGATCAGACTTGCCATCAACATTCTGTTAGTCGTCCTGTTCGGGTTCCTCCCGGACTTTTTACGCAGGGTTCTTTTAGCCGGAGCCTTCATCAAGAACTTCTTGAAGCCACTGTGCATATTGAGTTTGCAGACCAGCTCCTGAACAAAACCCCCCACGACAATGCTCCAGTATGCCACTCTCCAGCCGACCAAACTCGTAGACCTCTGTGCCACGGTTACGGTTCTTGACGATTTCTTTGAAGCTATCGGGGATTGGGGCAGGCACGTTGAATCTCAGGGACATCAGCAACTTTCGTCATCATAGCATAGCCTCTGCCAGCCGAATCCCCCATATCCACTTGCCCCACATACTCGGCGCCGAGGTCAACACCGCAAAGCCAAACTAAATGCGACGCACTCAAGATCTCCTTACGAACAGATGGCCAGAGCAAACATAGTTTATCCGAAGCGACTCTGATTGATGCGATATATCTTGTCGAAGATGCTGAGGAGTGGAGGTGCGAATCTGAAGAGGGACGTCGCATGACCAAGCCAGACTTGCAGCAGATGACCATGGACTTTTGTGCGGTGTGCGAGTTCAACCCCAGCCAAGTGCACTCTCCAGATTGTATGTGGATTCTGTCGGAGCTTTTTCTCGTCTAAATCAATGATGCACCCTACAAGCACTACACGGTAGCAAGCAAGCTCGCAAACAACACAAGGACATGAGGCACTTTTCCTGAATGCGGATGCCTGCACACTGCAGACAAGTCCCAATGGAGATCCAGCTTGCAGCATGCCACACCCCCCCTCCGCAGAGGAGGTCATCACTATAACAGCTGCGACATGGCGCAGAAGTTCGGAGTTCAGCTGAAGGACACACCCACTGAGCCGCGCAAGGGCCTGTCGCCATAACCTTTGCAGGGCGGGCGGGTGGGCAAAAAGACTTGCACGCAGCAGGTCGAGAAGCCTGGACAAACAATGCGCGAGCCAGGCTGACATGCATGTTAATGCAGCAACCAGGTAGTATTCGGAGCATGCACTGGCCGTATCCCGACCCACCCCAGTACAAGCAAACCAACACTACGTACGGTAGCAAGCAAGCTCGCAAACAACACAGGGACATGATGCACTTTTCCTCAATGCGGATGCCTGCACACTTCAGACACGTCCCAACGGAGATCCTGCCTGCAGCATGCCACAACCCTGCAAGGTGCAGGATCCGCATTGCGCCGGTGGGTACGCAACCCTTTCACAGCCCCCCACCGAAGGGCGAAGCCACCAAGGCAATGCAAAGTTAATACGAAGCTTCAAGAGGCAAGACAAGTAACACTGAGACACGCTGCATGGTCAGCTTTTGGTGACCCTAACCACTCACTCAGTCAAGACGAGCCCACGGCTGAGATAGGACGCACGGTCAGCCTTGGTGACCCTCACCACTCACTCAGTGAAGATGAGCCCACGGCTGAGATAGGACGTCGCGCACGTCCAAGGCGCGGCGTCTGGAAGGAAAAAAGGCCGTCTGGTAAGGACTGCCGACTCAGGCTATCAGCCCAGCCGTTTCGCTCACCGGCAAGATGAGAGACGTGTAGATGCACCCCTCGGGAGCTGCACCAGTACCCCAACGCCTCCTTGTCTCCGAAAAAGACTTGCACGCATCAGGTCGAGAAGCCTGGACAAACAATGCACGAGCCAGGCTGACACGCATGTTAAGGCAGCAACCAGGTAGTGTTCGGAGCATGCACTGGCCGTATCCCAACCCACCCCAGTACAAGCATACCGTTTCGAGCTTGCGAACTGGTTCTTCAAATGACCATACAATTGGGATCCTGTTTTCCTCAAACACCTTCGCCACTGCCTGCGCACGGACACTCACATCTTGTTTATGGGCACCGAGGATGGCAACGTTGTCCACATATCTGCATCCCATAACCGCGAAACCTGTAGCTTTTCACGAGACTCAACCGCGCCCTCGGGTTTTGATTGACGGACCAATAGTGCTACTGTCTCGTTCGCGAAGAACAGCGCCCAGGTCCACTCCGTTGGCATCACCGAAATGACAGGATACGGCATGTCACACTCATCAACCTTTTCGTATGACCCCGACTCCTCGTTATAGATCTCTTCAACAGGAATGCCGCGTCTACGCCTCAAAAATTAGCTGCATTCGGAAAGTCGATCCCAAACCAAGAAGCCATCTGCTTCTAATCGAGAGATCGAGCTCGCTGAAGTGGCACCACTACCAAGACGAGTAACCGGCGGAGCTCTGTGATGTGCATTGGTGACTCTTGCATCAATTACCATGAGGATTGCGTTAGGGTCCTTCTTTTTCACAAAGAATACACCCACCTTTGATCGAATTCGCCTTCGGAACAATATGATCTCAACACTGTAAAGCCGCCGCAAGAAATCGACCCGGGTTTCCAAACTTTGCCGAGAGACTGGTCCCAGTACGGTTGACGAGGGCAGCTGTCGGGATGTTCACAATTCGAATTCCGAGTCGGACCTCACAATGTGCTCATGCCGCCTCCTGGAGAGAGGTAGAACATGAGAAGGAAGCATCTCTGACAAAGGCCGAGGTTGAACCCTTGAACGAAGTATTTTCAACTTGTCCGGGTCATAACGTGCAAGGTTGCCGGGCTCCCCTTCATTGAGGTTGTGAACACAATACTTCAGGCTTGGGCTTTAGGCTTGATCAAAACCCAACCAGCAAAACCAACACCCCGGCAATCAAGCACCCCACCCAAAAAGACCGAACGTCCGGAACCGAAAGACCTGAGGCCCGACGAATCCCCCCAACCCGAATCCCCCCACCGCCTACGTAGAGGCCGCGGGCTCAACTTCTTCCCCTTCCCTAACCAACCTCCAATTAGCGGCCAGGCCATGTGGCCGGGGATGATGCCATGGAGGCGCTTGGCCAGTGGGGTTTAGGCTTAGGGTTTACGGAGCCGGTGCAGTGACTGTTCAAGCCGATGCCCGGTTCGGGTGGGAGCTGCAGCGACCACTCCGGCCGCTGCGCTCCCGGTTGTAGGGGTTGGTTGGTGGGGGACCGCATCGCCGAGCACGGCGGGCTGATCTGGGGTCTAAAGCTACGGTTAGGGTGGTGGAGTTTGGAGTTTAGAGGGCAAGGCATCAACAGACCTAAGAGACCTGCACCAAGTTGGGCTGAATATAAAGCCGACGGCAACAAACCCCACAAAAACTTAAAACTTAAACCCGAAGCCTAAGACCCACTAAGTAAAGACAGTAGTAGTGGTAACAATACCATTGGTAAATGCAATATTGAAACTACACGTCAAACTGATATTGAGAACATATTGGCACTTTATTGTATTTCAGATACGACCAAGCATGGAAGTGGAGATTGGAAAGGTTTTGTAGAGCACACACACGTATCCGTGTGTGTGTGTGAACGCTTGAAGCTGGCATAGAAGAACATAATAGCACTTTAATGTATTTTGGATACGACCAAGAATGGAAGTGGAGATTGGAAAGGTTTTGTAGAGACATGACCACGATCCCAGACGATTCCAGCAAAAAAGCGTGGGTAAATGAGGGGAGGTAGCATGTACAGACATGCATACATACATACACACGTACATACATACAAACAAATGAAAATTAAAAGAATAAATAGAAACAGAAATATATTATATATATATATGTGTGTGTGTGTAGATATGCCCACATACGCATACATATGTGCAGGTATGCGTGTATGTATATAGGTATGTGTATATATATACATATATATATACACATACACACATATACATATATATACATACATATATATATATACATACATATGTATATATATATATACGCGTGTGCGTGTGCTTGTGTTAAGCATCCCCACACCACAAACCAAGGTCACTTCTTGATAAGGTGCACGAGCGCATCCAGGCACTGCTGCCTGCGATCTATGTCACGCAGAGAATAAAGACGTCAAAGCTTAGACAACGCCTGAAGGAGCGGCTGTTCTGACTAAGGTATTGCGACAGGGTGCCACCGACCTGAGCGTGCGCTTTCTCAACCCACACCTCCGTTGTCTCTATCCGCAGAGTCCCCGACGGCCGGAAGAATGGAACCGACTGCAGCAATCTGCACCTCGCATCATGACAACACTTGATGTGAATGGACATGTAGGTGCAACTGGATCGCAATAGTATAAGGCGATGGTGCCTTTGAAATGCACATCGTTCTCAACGCCTTGATGGCTGTCGTCCGAGTCACCTGCAGTTGCGTGAAATGCCTCTCGGCACACCTGCATTCTCACCTGCCAGGCCTCGTTTTTGATACGCTCCACAAAAGATGGCAAACAATCTTGAATGCCAGGCTGGAAGTCTGGCAAGTCCTTCGCAGCCAAACGTGCTCGGTCTCTTATGCTGACATCTCCGCGACTTCTGCAACTTCTGCAGAAGCCCTGTCCCCGGTGCACGCAACCAGATGGCCCAAACACTCCAGCGCACTTTCCTTGACCTGACAGAAGGTCGGCCTAGCGATCTTACGGGACTGATCTTCTCTGCCTCCTGGTCAATATCCGTCGCCAGAAGCTTGCTTTTGAGCACCTCTTCATAAGCTGCACCATGGCGGCCCAGCTCTGGTTGAACAGTGACAAAAACTACAATACCTCTCCTGCTCCACCGACTGGAAGATTATGTGCAAGTTGGGAACGATGCATACAGAGGAGAGACAGGTTGAGAAAAGACCGTGACGAAGAGGCGTGGCTATGCACTCTACACAAGTGCTGGAGGCGGTGCACCTCGTAAACCGGCAGCATCACTTTCAGCTCCGAGCTAACAGCATCCGGGGATGGCCTGCAAAGCTGGAACAAGTTCTTGTCGGCAGCCCCAGACAGATGACCCAAAACCCGTTAACCCGTCCATCCCGGCCCGGTGTCACCACTGCGCTGCCTGAGGGTGTAAACAAAGGCCCCGATAGCTCTCAGAGCCTGCACGTGCAGCTGCCGGCATGCACGACCGTCATACAGGACTAAGTTCATTGCCAGCACCACAATCCACATGATGATCACTCAGAAGACCAAAGCGGATTCGGCCTCACTCCTAGGTCCTAGAGTCTAGAGCACTCCGAAGGCCTGACACGGCTCTAAGCTGTAGCTCAGACCTTATGTGTTGTTCTAAAGCCGGGGCAACACGATAGGGTGTAGGGTTTAATATGGCTTTGTCGGGGCAGTACATTGCAAAAGTCTCTACATCGATTTGTGCTTTCCGTTGCACTGGCACAGGAGCACAGAGTGGATGAGCAGCAATGCGGCCTGTGCAATCGACTTGTAGTACGTGTCCGAGCAGCAGGTCAAAAACAATGGACCTCAGAGCATGGGCGCCAAAGCGATAGGTGGCTCAGACACGCGCACACACACGTACGTGCATACACACATAAAGCAGGCAGACAGCCAAACAGCCAGACAGCCACACAGACATATGTTTCATCGTACCAGACTCTCAATCCTGGCCCCTTGGCTTGTATCTGACTCTGGGACTGTCACGGATGGCTCGTTGCTTGCGGTACAGACTCGAGAATGCTTGTGCTTGCAGTGTAGAGCTTTTTTGAGAGGCTCGTTTCCTCCTGCAAGTGTTTACAGTCAGAATACCAGCTAGCTACAGCTCCTGCTTTGAAGTGACCTGGCAAAGCAAGCCCAGGGTAGACACCAACTCCACACACAGACGCCGCGTGCTAGGCTCGACAACCTTTGCCTCTGGAGAAGAGATCTCGCAGCGTGAATATCCGTCAAACAGGCGTGTAGAAGCTCAACTGTCTTTTAATTGAGATTGAGGTGTTTTTAACTGAAGGGATACATAATTCATCAACTCACCTAGATCATAATTAGACGTCGGATAACTCAACTACGACCCACGACAGTTTTGGCCGGCCGCTCAAACACTCGATATCGAAACCAGTCTCCTCCAATTCTTCCCGCTGCGAATGTATGGAGACAAAGGCTGGAAAGGTTGGGAGTGACAGGTGCTAAAATAAGATAGTATCTCAACGACCACCTTCAGAAGAGGATAGGAAGGCTAGAGGAAGTAAGCCGTCCGTCGGACTTTGTTGCAGTCCGGCATTGTGATTATGTAGCGAAAATCGCCGTTCTGCCAATTGCAAGCACTTATCCAATCACGCACCTAGCTTATGGTACGTGGGGCCCTCCTCAATGCTAAATAAACGGACCTGATGCGAACCCCAACGCTTTGTTGACCCGGTGCCCACTAGCAGTAATGACAACTCCTGCAAGCTCCACTGGAAAGAGTAAACTGGCACTGGACTCGATGAGCAGAGACACAAAGACAGAGAGACATCACACAACATGATGAAGCCGCTTGAGTGTGGCAGAAAGGCAACGGTAGGATGACATGAGTCTCGGTTGTTCCATCCACATACAAATTTCCCTCGACATGCATAGTTCAATAAGTATATTCTGGATGTGAAAGAAGATGTCAAGTTGTAAATGGCATGAGTCGATCAAAAACAGTGCCGAGCGGAGAAATGCCTAAATAAACGAACAGCTCTGAGAGACTGTCAGCTCACGCATGAACACCAACATGCTGTGAAACAGAACGATTGTGCGTGGCTTCAACGGCACAGCTGCGTCGAATACGTCAATCAAGAAATTCCTCACAGCATTTATCTTCAGGCTGTTGTGAACCTGTGGGCTATGAACGAATCGCTTACTACAATTTGCCCGGCAGAGGATCTTCCGGGAGTGGCCAGGCGAGCAAGCGTCGGATATTTACATACAGATTCCCAACAAGGAGTTTCTGAGCCTGGGACATAGCTCTGGAGCTAGTTGCTGAAAAGTTGTGGCTGTCAAGAAGTACTCTGCGAGGTGCCTTCCGAGGGCGCAGGAGACAGTCTGGCTCTCACCACGCACTGCGAGGACCAAGCTGCCTGATGAAGACCAAACTGTCGAGTCGCATGGAGGAGTTTGATTCCTTCATAGCGCGGAGAAGCTCATCTTTGACCTGCCCACTATGTTTTGAATGAAAATCACACAAACATCCGGACTGTCAGCATCCTGCCTGTGGCAGATTGGGCTCTACATGCTGTGGAATACACTCAGACCTCGGCACGAAGAGGCTGCGAAAGTTGCGCTTTGGCACTGCCTTGCGGTCCAGCCGAAATTGACGAAGTGCCAGGCAGCGTCCGTAGCAGGGTCAAAGCACCCTGCCGCGTTTTTGCTGCCTGTTCATGCAGGCTGTGAAAAGTGTCTCGGTGAGTGTCTCCGTGCGCACTTGCATCGGCCAGAGGCCATCACCTTGGAGCGCATCTGTTTGTTCAGCTGCGAGATGCAGGCCGGAATGACGGCGATGAGATGCTGCGAGGTTGGCCGCTCCTGACGCCAAGTGAGGCAGGGAAGTCCGTGGGAAACTGCGCTGGGTTCAGCAAGTCCTTGGGAGGCTGCACACGCTCAACCTGCAGAGGGCAGATAGCCCAGGGCTAACAAAGCTCAGCGTTCTTAGATCCGCACCTCCAATATAAAGGAGGATGACACTGAAGGTGTTGAATCCATGCTCGTGGCAGCAAGAAAGGAGGATTGCGTCTGCGACAGTAATTTCAAGTCACGGCCATAGCTCCACACCATGGAATTCAGAGCATTGCCTTTGTCACAGCCGCGTGCGCCATCTCACCGAAGGTGGTGAACACATCGAGCTTCACGCTTTCCTCACCTTGACGACTTCTCTGCCACTGATGCATATGTCCGATTCTGACAACAGAAGCACCACGGTGTCTGAGATCCACGCGTTCGTTGAAGCGTGCTATCAGTGGCTGAGAAAACTTGGAATATATCTCATCTAACCTGTCGTAGCAAGTGCAATAAATTGTGTCATCGTGGCAGACTACTTTGAAGCCGTCGGTCGGATCGATGATGATCTACGTGGACTTGCCTGTCCGGGAGGCCCTTCACCATCGCCTCAAGCACCTTTCAGAAGGCTCTAAGACTCAAAGTCCCGCTGAAGACAGGCACAGGGAACTTCTGGCCTTAAGCGCCGCTCGGCGGACTTTCCAAGAGTTGTCATCATCGTCAGAATCCACCAGTCCATCTTCATCGAACTCCTCAAAGCCATCGTCCATCATGGCATCCTTGAGAAGATTGACACTGACAGTGTGTAATGTGGCAGCTTACCCTGCTGCGTAATCGTGTCAGTCCTGGCCATCACCCGAATCGTAGAAATTCGGATCGTACGCCACCAAATTGAGAACGATCCCACAAAGCTCGTCCAAGTGAGGCATGATCTGTCCCGAAAGTGTGATGGCAAGCTGCGAGAAGGCACGGCACAAAACAGACGCACTTCTCCGACGCTTGAAACATGCGAATCCTCCTTGGAACAGCGGAGCACGAAGCACTCAAAGGCGTTCAAGCAATTCTCTACAACCTGGTGGCACGGTGGCACAGTTTGAGCGTTGATGTCGCTGAACAGCTGGCACATCGCTAAAACAGAGTGCCTCGTGGTCTTTCTCGTTATCACCCTCCATGGAGACGTCTTCTTGCGTCGCCTGGCTTCTGGCTGTGAAGCCACGACGATCTTGCCACTCGATGGGAAAGCCCGTAGAACCTGGTTCACGATTTGGAAGAAGAGCGGCGCGATCTCTTTCAAGTGCTGACCGATTCGGAAACCTGCTCACATGCAAGAAGTAGATAGAATCCTGCTGTCTTGCTGTCATCCTGTTGGCATATCAGCATCCTGAGATCCGGGCCCACATTCCTACTGACGGTGCTGATGCACTGGATATACCTGGTCACCCAGTACATGCCGGGCCGCAAGCACGATGCAAATAAAGCCTGCTCCACATGAAACATGTAAGATAAGCCACTTTTGCTTTTCAGATTTGGATCCTGCTTGTCGAACATCAGCAAGCAACGTCCTCGTTCAATGGCTTGCATGACAGTAAGGTCCTGAAGCCAAAGACACGAGGACCGCCGGTCCCTGTCCTCATCAGGGTATCTAGCTGCCGATCTGCGAGAACTGCGGATAGAGCTCCGATGCAAGCGATCACCTGTGACAAGACAGAGACTGGCTGTCCCTCATCTCGCAACAGTTTAAGTACTTGGTACTACTTTACTACAACCACAGGCATTCATAGTCCCAGCCGGCACTACTTTCTGAACCCAGACGGGCATGACGAGTGGCAAACCCAAAAAACTAACATTAAACCACAAAAGTGCGTGTGGGCTCTGAACACACCAAAAGAAAACAAGTAAATCCTCGGGTTGACTACGTCCCCAAAACAGTCAACCTTTATGGCCTCTTGGGAGGAGTGGGAACGGTTCACAAAGGATTGTAGCCTGGATGGAGCGACCGGTTCACCAACAGCCGAAACTCCAACAGGACCAACAAGAGTTCTGTACCTGAACCTAAAATGCCGCGACAGAGGAGCGGGATGAGATGCTGCTGGAAGGAAGCGCTAAAATGCAATACGCTCATCACAAAGAGTCTTGTCTCCCTAGATGTGGCGGCATCGGTCCATTAGGTGGATGATTACCCCTAAATCACCGTGCATCCAGGCTTGGACTCGAGAACCACTAGCTAATAGTTTTTGGCGGCCATGGCGTGGAAAGCTGTAAGGCGCCTTGAAGAGCTACGGCATTGACAACCCACGGCACGTGCTTGCATGAACGAGCAACCTTCTGGGGGAGGTTTGGTACTTCGACAGCGACATCGCTGACTTCACCAGAACGCCCCACGAGCCATGTTTTTTAGACACTGCTCGAACACACAAACACAAACACAAACACAAACACACACACACACACACAACGAACATGTACAGTAGAGGCATGTGATTCTGTTGCAAGAAGTCTGGCCCGCAATGACCAAGGTTGCACCTTCTTCCGCAGCGATGTCTTGTGCTGCTTGGGCTTTAGCAGGTTGAGCAGCGAAGTCGCCATGTTGTCCTGCGAGAGAAGCAAGGGTTGGACACAAATACATGACGTGCTATTCACTGCCAGGCCTGATCGGACCACTGCATTATACGGTTGTCGCCTCAGTTTCCCATACATTATTGGAACACCATCGCCAGCGGGGCCACTGCCAAGACAACTTGCCCAACAGAACCGACAAGACTAAAAGCCCTACTACAGCAGTCTTCTATAAGAGCTCACTGTCCTTTTGTGCCCT